GTTCTTGTGTTTACGAAGCAACGATCATATGAATGATATATTCATTTATTAACAGGTGGGAGGTATTCGAGCTTTTGATCTCGTAGTCGAGGGTACACATCGGTTGGTTTTAAGGGGTAGAAACTTCTCTCTCTATGAATGATAGTCCACGTGAATTAGAGAGAATTCAGTTTATTTTGGTTCTTGTGTTTACGAAGCAACGATCATATGAATGATATATTCATTTATTAACAGGTGGGAGGTATTCGAGCTTTTGATCTCGTAGTCGAGGGTACACATCGGTTGGTTTTAAGGGGTAGAAACTTCTCTCTCTATGAATGATAGTCCACGTGAATTAGAGAGAATTCAGTTTATTTTGGTTCTTGTGTTTACGAAGCAACGATCATATGAATGATATATTCATTTATTAACAGGTGGGAGGTATTCGAGCTTTTGATCTCGTAGTCGAGGGTACACATCGGTTGGTTTTAAGGGGTAGAAACTTCTCTCTCTATTGTACATGTTTTAAAACTGTGAGACTGATAGCGATATGTAACAAACCAAAATGGACATTATCGACTAGTGGTGGGCTGAAACCGTTATCGTACGTCCTAATTTTTGAACTCGAGTTTATAAGATAATAACGGTTGATCAGTCTTTCGTACCTAAGAATTTTTTTTTTTAAGGGATATTACTTAAGCCCCTTCTTTGGCTTAAGAATCACTAATCAAGTATTAGCCCCTAATTAATTGGGCTTAATTAAGTTTCATGTGATGTATCAATTTTTAGCTTTGGGCTTGTCTCCATGTCTGTGGGCCTTAATTACATTCAGGCCCAATTTGAGTTCTTCATTTTCTTTTGTTTGTTCAGCCCAGCCTCTTGGTTACAGCTGTCATTCCGTTTGGTTTGTTTTCGATCTTGGTTCATAAGTTTGGGTCGTGCCTGTAATAGTCTAAGAAAAGTCCACCGCTAATCGATATTGTCCACTTTAACTCGTTACGTTTGCCGTCAGTCTCACAGTGGAGAGGTTTCACTCTTATAAGAAATGTCTAGTTCTCGTACCATTTGGACAGCCTAGACCCACTATTAGTAGATATTGTTCATGTTAGCTTGTTACGTATCACCATCAATCTCTCGATTTTAAAACGCGTCTACTGTTTCCACACCCTTATAAGAAATGTTTCATTCTCCTCTCCAATTAACGTGAGACCTCACAATGCTCTATGTGGGTTTTCCCTCACAATGAACAAATCGTGCCTCGAGATAAACATTAATCTCCCCTCGATAAGAAAGTTCAATCACGAAGATTGTTAGAAGTACAAATCAGAGATCCATGCAATAAAGGTAAGGACAATTATTATACAAGAAAATACGTATATCCAAAACAGACAAATATCGTCACATTGTAGAGATACATAAAGCACATGTCATCCTATCAAATCCACCCACGAGCGCAAAAACGGATAAACAAAGTGAAAATTCTCTATTAACCCGTAACCAAGATGTAACGGTCGAAGAACCAACCGACACCGACAAGAAAATCAATATAGTATATAGAACATAACGAAACTCGAAAATACATAAGTTCGTAGAAAAACAAGCGAAAACAGAAGCACAAAGATGAAACAAGAACCAAAAAAAAGAGGGCAATTCTCAAACTTGATTAGAAATATTCCTCATAAAGTCTCCCTCATAAGATGACCAAAAGGAGACATCATTAAGAAATGATAGCCTTTGCTTAGGAGTGCTGATTGACCTTGTCTTAGCCTTAGCAGACTCTGTCACCGCCATATACGTTGGGAACACCGGCGAGCAGCTTGTGGGCATGCAGCCCTCATAGCCACCACCGCCTGATGAGCAATTATGCTTCAAATGGCCGAATGATCTTCTTGGCGATGAGTATTGTGAGCTCATATTCACATCACTTACTAAACTTATGTGCACACTTGGCCTCAAACTTCTCCTTGGACTTTCTTCTGTCATTTGGATGTTTCTTCCTTCCTGAGATGATGCCAAACGACCCCACGTAACGGGAATCCGTGAGTGTTCGTGAAAATATTTGCCTATGTTTAAGGCTTTCGAGCAGGTAATGTTTATAGGAACATAGCTTAGCGGTAATTGACGTGTAGAATGTACTTACTCGGTGTGAAAATGAATATTTTAACATTCTTTCCCTTTTCATCATTGCCTCTTGCTTTCTTAAATGCAAGGCTTCAATGCCCTTTTTGGAGAGACTGCTGCCATCCCAGTTTCTTAGGCTGCTCAAATCAAGCTGATATCATAATAAACAAACTTAACGGGTTAGTACTCGGAAATTGTAATGTCTCAAACCCACTACTGGTAGATATTGTCTTTTTTGGGGACGTTTTTAAAACGCGTCTTTCAGAGTTACACAACGAAACTAGTACTCATCCAGATAGTGTCCTATTTGAATTTTTTCTTCTGGGCTTTCCTAGTTAACGCGTAAAACGTGAGGCTGAGGGTGATACGTTACGGGCTAAAGCGGAGTTTTTTCTTCTGGGCTTTCCTAGTTAATGAGTAAAACGTGAGGTTGAGGGTGATACGTAACGGACCAAAGCGGACAATATCGGTTAGAAACGCTTTCTACTTTTGCATACCTTTAGTTCATCCTCCTCAAACTCCTCTTTTGGCTGGATGAACACCTTCTTTCCACAGCTATTGCAACTTCTTTCTGCAATGAAACTTTTCTTCTGAAACACATTTGAATTCCTTCTTTCCTCGATTATCATTGGTCGGTTCAAAACAGCGTCGATTCGACGTCTCACGGCTCGGCCGCGAACTATTGCTTGAAGTTTCACTATTCCCTTAAGTGCTCTCAAGGCCTTCTTTGCCTACCTCGAAACATTAAAATTAAGATCAAGATCGATCGAGTGAGTTTGAAATGACTTTTTAGAATAACAATATCTCTTTCCTTACCAGATATCCCCTGAAATAGCTTTGAATCTTAAGGGCAGCCGAGATTCGATCTCTCATCGAGAACAAACAGTAGGAGTCCGAGGCGGCCGTAAGGCGGACAACCTCGGCCGCGGCATTGGCAGCTGCAACGGCAGCCTCAGCTGCAGCAGCTGTGGCAGCAGCAACACTCAAAGCCTGTCTCCTCCTCTCATCCGTTGCTTCATTGAGAGCTGTTTGTGGTGGTGGTGGTGGTGGTGGTGCAATCACTTGGCACTTCTTAACCTTGAATCTTTGAGTAACCCATCTCCACTTTCTAGATTTCTAAACATTAAAACCAAACCCAACAAGAATCAAAGCAATTCAAATCTGAAAACAAATTCAAAAACACAAAGAGAAAAAAAAAAAAAAGTAAATGAATCAAACCTTTTCTGATTTAGTTTTTGGGTCAGAACCAAAAAGCCTCTTGACCCAACCAATCCAACACATTGTCTTAGCCATTAGAACACCATGTTTAACCTCTAAGAACAGAGAGATCATTCATCCGATGTTGATATCCGAATATCAATATCAACGAGCCAACCCGAGCCAACCCAATCCAACCCAACCCAAGGCTAGCATAAAGGCATAAGAAAAAGAGTGAAGAAAGTGATCTAGGTGTGGGTTGAAGGGGGCTTTTGTGGCATGTTTTGCTGCTTTATCTCACCTCCAACTGTCAAATTCACAACTGCCATGGACTAGTTCAAAGTGTTCCTGTTATGGTGGAAGCACTTAATTGATATCAATTTGTATGTAATGAGTCCATATATATGTGGTTCCATTTCCCTAACTTATGCATGTGACACCAATCTTTAATCATCATCATCATCTATTTGGTCCCATTACCTGCCTCATCTTTTCCAAATAATCTTCTTTATCAAAACCTATACATACATATATATATATATATATATATATGTTCATATTACCTTTTCTTATTCTATTTCTTTCTTTCCGTTTCATTAATATATTCTCTCCGTCCAATTTTTTTCCATATACATCGTCGTGGCATGAACTCATTTCTCATGTTTCTCGCCCCTACCTGAAATTCTGTATTGGTGAGCTTCCCTCGAGGCGACACCGAAGGTCTACCTCCTTTGGTAGCTCAAGTTGTAGCAGATATTTGTCCGTTTTAGCCCGTATACGTATCACCGTTAGTCTCATAGTTTTAAAGCGCGTCTGTTAGGGAGAGATTTCCACACCCTTATAAGAGATGTTTAGTTCATCTCTGTTAGACATGGGACTTCACAATCCACCCTTTAGTCGCTAGTGTTCTCATATCTGACTCTTATACTATTTGTAACAGTCTGAAACCATGCTAATAGATATTGTCCGTCTCACTGTTTTAAAACACATCTATGAGAGAGAAGTTTACGTATCCTTATAAGAAACGTTTCGTTTGTGTCTCTAATCGACGTGGGACCTCACAGTTACATCACGTCAAACCACGATGCCACATTATAAGACATAAAAACGAGAAATTTTGTGATTTAACCTAAACGAACCCTCTACCAAAAAAGGTACATAAAAGTGTGGTGCCACTTTAAATCCTTCCTTTGACAAATAATATTGAGTTGTTTTTTCTCTGTTAGAAGTATTCACCAAGCATGCTTCAAAAGCTCCATTTTTTTTATTTTTTTTATTTTTTTAATTTCTAAAATTATTTAATTTATTTTACTATTTTTTTCCCCCTTAGATTGCATGATTTTTATAATAATATAATTTCCTCTAATGGGCCTGTGGTTTGCACATCAAGGCCCACCAAATTGGTCCCAATGATCCATTGATGAGGCATGTGAACAGTTGATGACTTGTCCAAAAGAAATAAAGCCTTTTAAAATCTCTTTACCATTCAAATTGTGGCCCAAAACAATGAGACCAAACTAGCTTTTGAGCTGTTCTAATGCCACCTAACCTACAAAATTAACATCATTTTTTTAAAAAATAATATATGCTTAGATTGCCATTCAAGTTCATGAACCTTTTTTTTTTTTTTTTTTGGTATAAATATTAATTATTTAGTTGTATAATAATGAAAATTACATCGTGAAAATCGATATTAACTCGTAGTTGGATGATTTATGTTCGAGATTGGATTAGATGTGTGAGATCCCATATGGGGGAACGAGTTCCAGCAAGAAAATTGGGCTTCAAAGAGGGGGTGGGCTGTAAGATTCCATGTTGGTTGGAGAGGAAAATGAAACGTGGTTGATAAGGGTGTGGAAATCTGTCTCTAGTAGAAGCGTTTTAAAAATTTTAAGGAGAAACTCGAAAGAGAAATCACAAAAAAAGACAATATTTACTGACAGCGTTACGAGATGTTTTAGCAAAAATAAGTAAATAAATAAATTTTGAAAGGGTCGGTGAAGAACACTCATGTTCAAATTTGGATGGATTATTGATGCTAATATTAAAATGGGTTGATAAAGGTATCATGAGTTTGCATTGTATCAATTGATTCAAATGCTTTTTCTTGCATTCTTTTATTCAATTGCTTTCTTTTGAATTCTTTTATTCCCATTCCCAATTGACTGCTATATTCTATAAAATAAAATGATTAATTAAGACTAATTTGATTAATTTGTCATGAGAACGAGCTAACATAATTTAAATGGTTAAGACATATATCAACGATCAAGATGTAAATAGTTCGAATCTCCTGACCTCATATGTCGTTGAGCTTAAAAAAAGAAAAAGAATGTTTCATTATGTTGCTGAGTGCCACAATCGCACTCTTGCGGTAGTAGGACAACGATTGTGCGACAGTTGTTTTAATCCAATGAACAAGTTAGTCGTGAGAAATTCGAATGTCGCAAACAACGTCGACGAATGATCAGGCTTCAAGTCATGTTTGTGACAAATGATGTAGAAAACGTGAGCTAGGAAATACATTTAAAAATGATTTGAAAAAATGGAAGAAAACAGCATTATATGACTCTAAGCAAATAAAGGAACACCACAACTTAAATAACATATAATTTAGTACATTTTGAAGCATTTTAGCCTTTGCAAGTGTAGACATGATTTTGGTGAACGGTTATAATCCCCCATATTGACACAACATGAAATAGTAAAGAGCTGTATAAGATGAAAGCATCTAAAAGGGGTTTGGAACGGGCATGCGGCTATAAACAACACGTCTTGAACAAGCATGACCGAGACATCCGATATGTGGCCATAGACAACACACCTTGGACAAGTAAGACCGTGACACTGAGCACGAATCTAAATGGCAATCATAGAAAAGTCAATCATTTGACTTTTTCGACATAGGTTTTGAAATGTGTAACGAGCTTAAGATTGTGTTTCGAGAATCTATGAAGTGAAGGTGATTGGACTATGTAATTGAGCATCCTCCATCCTAATCCAAGATTTGAGGGAGAAGGGTTGATGGGTGATTTGGATGATCCTAGCTCCTCTTGCCCAGTTTCCATAGCCACCATAGCCACTGTGTCTTGCAAAGCACAGCCAAAGCTTATTTGTAGCGTTGTGAGGGCTGTGAGGGCAGCACCAATCCAATCCATGGTTGTGTCCTACAAACACTGCCTACAAACGCATCAAATCCAACGTATCTCGAATCAATTTTAAAAACTCGACCACTTGAACGTAATCGTAATCAAATTTTAAGGACTAAAATAGAACGAACGAATTAATGTTTATTTCTTAATTATAATACCTTGACAGAAGGTCTTTGTTGAAGTAGACTCATGATGCCAAATTCAGCTTGTTGAGCAGCAACTTTCTCCATGTTAATTGAACCAACACAAGGCTTTTGTATGCAAGATGGAGCCACCTGCTCGTATGCTCCACTTGGTATGTGCCAAAAAACAATCTCTGGTATGCTGTTCTTCCCTCATGCATTATACCATTGCATCACAACCAAAACTAAGTACAAAAACAATCTAAACCTAAGCTTGTATACTTCTACGTTATCTCAAATGCCTCAAATATAAGAGTCATATAAACAGAGGCCGAACGAAGTAGAAGAAATACGAAGAGGCAATAGAGACATTTCACAATAGTATGTTACTGTCCAGTTTCAACGTTACCCTTCATGGGTTTGATTCCAATTTCATTGAAAAGATTCTACTTATATACTCATGATCTCATGTTTATCTAGTAATGACTCTACTTATATACTCATGATCTCATGTTTATCTAGTCAACGTGCAACCTTTGGTGAAACCAAAAGCACTTAAATCTTGTGGCCATGGGTTTGATTCCAATTTCATTGAAAAGACTCTACTTATATACTCATGATCTCATGTTTATCTAGTAATAACTCTACTTATATACTCATGATCTCATGTTTATCTAGTAATAACTCTACTTATATACTCATGATCTCATGTTTATCTAGTCAACGTGCAACCTTTGGTGAAACCAAAAGCACTTAAATCTTGTGGCCAAGGGTTTGATTCCAATTTCATTGAAAAGACTCTACTTATATACTCATGATCTCATGTTTATCTAGTAATGACTCTACTTATATACTCATGATCTCATGTTTATCTAGTCAACGTGCAACCTTTGGTGAAACCAAAAGCACTTAAATCTTGTGGGTTTATATCTAAAGTGAACAATATCTGTAACAGCCCAAGACATTGTCCGCTAGCTGATATTGTCCGCTTTGGCTCGTTACGTATCACCGTCAGCCTCACAATTTTTAAAATGCGTCTGCTAAGGAGAAGTTTCCACACAGTTATAAAGAATGTTTTGTTCCCCTCTCCAACTAATGTGGGATCTCACAATCCATCCTCATTGGGGTCAGCATCCTCATTGGCACACTGCTCGGAATCGGGCTCTAATACCATTTGTAACCGCCCAAGTCCACCGCTAGCAGATATTGTCCGCTTTGGCCCATTACATATTGCAGTCAGTCTCACGATTTTTAAAATACGTCTACTAAGGAGAGATTTCCACACTCGATTAATGTTTTATTCCCCTCTCTAACTGAAGTGGGATCTCACAATATCACTGAGGAGAGTCTATCGTTTCTAACAATTTCCAAATCTACCCCCTAAACAACATCTTAATTCTAACTGATACGAGACTAAATTTGCATTATTCGGGGATCAAGAACTATCCATACCTAGAATTAGGATTGATTTGTTGTGCTGTATGCCGAAACCATTCAACTTGAGCACTGGATATTACTTCTGGATAAGAACCACCACCAGAGTCTAAGAAATACAAGTTCATTACTGGCGATTGGCAATCATCAAAGAATGGAGAGATTTGGACATAATAGTTTGATACACTTGGCCAGAGATGTTTTGGACCATTTCTAGATTGTGATAGCTTCCTATTCTTCACCTCATTTTTCATCAAATCCAACCGTTGTGTGCCTCTAAACTCACATTCTTCTTCTAATCCTTAACCAGAAAACACAAAAACACAATGTTTTGAACAAAAACATCAATCTAATGAATGTAGAGTTGGCTATATATATATATATATTCACCTGAACATGAGGTAGCATCGTCCCGGCAACGGTGTGGAGGAATTCCGGTAGCAGAAAACCAGTCGATCGGCCACGAAAATGGCGCGTCGTCGTGATTTCCAAACACACTGGCCCATGGAATACCCCTGGCTTTTGTTGGAGAGATTGCCTGATCCCAATACAAACTTGCATTGGCTGTTGGAATGTTGTTTGCTGTAATCACATCTCCAAGGTATACTACCAAATCTATGATCACAATATCAGTTAATACTTGCTTTCTAAAATCCAAATGCATCGATACAACTAGTCAAATCTTCTCTATTTCGTCTTAAAGCTAAACATATATCTTAGAACAAATATTTTCGGATAAGGAATGCAATGAAATGAAATGAATCTTAGGAATGTTTTAATCGAGTTTTAATCTTAGCAACAAATATTCTCTTCTTAAACTCAGGAATGTTTCACTCGAGTTTAAGATAAGGAATGCAATGAACCTGGATTCTCAAGGTCGAGGACAGTGGACATGACTCGAGAGGAATTAGCGTCTTGAAGAGGGCCCCAATCAGTCCAGGCATCCTCCCCAAAATGCAGGTCTGCAAAGAGGACGATCTTGAAGGTGGGGGAGCCTGAGCGGAAGCGGAGAACGGTGCCGCGGGCCGTGGCGGAGGACAGACAGCCGACGCAGGCGAAGAAGGATAAGAATATTGCGAGTTTCCCGATGAAGGGCGTCTGCGTCATCGTATTACTCCTCAACAGAGCTTCCTTCCTCAGAGCTTTATATTGTAAGGTAAGGTTTAAAGAGAACTTGCCGTTTGAGCAACGACGTCAAAAGGGTCCCTCTCAGATCGTTGCTGTGATATAAATGATGCAAATCCCCATACATACATACATACATACATACATACATACATACATACATACATACATACATACATACATACATACATACATACATATTTGGAATATTCTATATATATATTTGGAATATTCTTTGAGCATCTTAATAGCTTCGTTCCACACATATAAGAAATGTCTGGTTTCACTCTATAATCCACGTGAGATCTCATAATTCATCCACACAGCTTGGTATCTGGATCGTTATCTAGATCTAATAACATTTGTAACAATTTCAAACCTATTATTAGTAGATATTGTCTGTTTTAGTCTGTTACATATCGTTGTCAACATACACAGTTTTAAAACACGTCTATTAGTGAGAGGTTTCCCCATCTATATAAGAAATGTTTTATTCCCTCTCCAGCCGAAATTAAGTTGCAAAAAAAAAAAAAAAAAAAAAAATTCATGCACTCTCTGTTGCTGAGTCACCTATTAATTAATTTTAATTAATCAATATTTTGATGATAACAAACCTACCGTTAGTTATTAGTGTTATAAAGTGTCGTAAAATTTACAATATTAATTCTATTTTTTTTTTTTTTTAATCATTCAAATCCGAACTAAAACAAAAAAGAGTTGTGACCGAGCCAAAAATAATGATACCCAATTTGATGACGTGTCACTGAGTTGAGTTGACGTAATAAACCAATAAAATCAAGTTTTAAAATTTTAATATTCGGTGGCATTTTGGTTGTTTTTGAAATAAAAGGAAAAAAGATTAATTTTGTATATATAATATAATATAAGATAATACTAAAACTTTTGAAATTTAAAAAAAAAAAAAAAAAAAAAAAATCTTACAGTTCTGACATGGCAGAAAATTTTGAAAAAAAAAAAAACAAAAGTATTTTTATAGTATTATATAATTATATTAAAATAAATATAATTTAACTAAAAGATTAGATTAGATGTTTAACTTAAATAAAATTATTAAAATATACATATATATATATATATATAAGCCTTGTTCTCCACCGACAGAAATATGGAGCTATTTTTCTTCGCAGATCAATCAATATTTTGAAATTAATGGGAAGAACAAACAAGAATTGATATTGGTACGATAAAAATTAAGCCCATTTGCTGATTATAATATGAACACTTCATTTGATTTCATGTTCATGGATCGAATGATGAATTTCTTGATATTGATACGATAAAATTAAGCACATTTGCTGATTATAATATGAACACTTCATTTGATTTCATGTTCATATCATGGATCGGATGATGAATTTCTCTGCATTATTTATTCTAATTTGACACATGTCGGATAGACGAAGAACACAAAATTTTCTCTGTTTTTAGTTTCTCTCCATCGCCTGCAAACTTCCCGAATTCTCGCTCGCAACGATTCTGTAGAGATTAGAGATTTCATTTCTTTTGAATTCCTCCCCGAGAGATCCACAAGGGAAATGCGTTCGATTCCATTGCAGCGCAGATGAGAGTTTCTCCTGCAAATCCACAAACCCTTTGAACGACGAATCGAGAATCGGATTAGAAATTGATAAACGATGGCTACCAATAAGCAAACCCTATTCGTGTTGTCTCTTGTGATCTTTTGGTATTCATCCAACATTGGCGTTCTTCTTCTGAACAAATTTTTGCTATCCAATTATGGCTTCAGATTCCCAATCTTCCTCACAATGTGCCATATGTCCGCCTGCGCGATTCTTAGCTACTTCTCCATTGTTGTTTTCAAGGTTGTGCCGCTCCAGATGCTCAAATCCAGATCCCAATTCCTTAAAATCTCGACGCTCAGCCTTGTTTTTTGTGGCTCCGTCGTCGGTGGTAATGTTTCCCTTCGGTACCTTGCCGTATCCTTCAATCAGGCAGTCGGTGCGACAACGCCGTTCTTCACTGCTCTCTTCGCCTATTTGATGACGCTTAAGAGGGAGGCTTGGGTCACTTATGCTGCTCTTATCCCTGTTGTTGCTGGGGTTGTCATCGCCAGTGGGGTATGTTTGGTTCATTTTCGATCACTTTTAATTCTCTTTTGCTTTTATTCATTGCATAAACGCAAGAAAAAGATTAAGATTCCTTAGAATTAGCTTTGAATTCAGTAGAACTTTACCATTAGGCGTGTGGCGTAAATGCAGCCCAGATCTGGAAGAATGTTAGATGCAGAGCTTCATATATTTTGTTTATAACCAATTCTTAAATTCCATGAGTACTCATTGATTGGTTCAAGATATGATATCGTCTTCCACATTCAAATAGGCCATTTATGAATTATAGATTATGAACAGATCAAAAACTCAAAGTTCATGTTTATCAGGGCAGGCTCAAGTGTTTACTAGTCTGTGATAGCGTCGAGCGCAATTGTAAAACAAATGTAGCCTGTTTCGGTTTGAGGGGCAATAGTTTATGGGATTTAGAGACGAGAATAGAGGATTGGCTTTCAAATTAGCAGATTGCTGAGGCAAATCCTTTGCCTATTCGACTGTAGTAGTTCATATTTGAGAGCATTTCATTTAGAACTTTGTTCATACATGTAAATTGATTCTTTTAACGTGTTTATATTATAATCGTCTATGGAGTTGTAAGACGTTCTACGGGTGATTGCAGGGCGAACCGGATTTTCACTTGTTTGGATTTATTATGTGCATAAGTGCAACTGCTGCAAGGGCATTCAAATCTGTTCTTCAGGGTATCCTATTATCTTCAGAAGGGTAATTGTAATTGTCATAAATTGCCTTTCTTTTGTCCTCAATAAATTTTCTACTGTCGAGTTATTGCCTCATTTTCATAGCGATTCTTCGAAGAATCGCTCTCCCACGTTTCATGATTAAATTAGATTGATGTTACATTTTTCTTGAGGGACGTGTTAATGTGGACGATTCAAGCTTGCACAGAATTGACTCATAAGTAATAAGAACTGGAAAATGTGAAAAACTGTTGCAATAGCTGATATAGTAGACGATCATGTTACCTTAAGTAGTTTACGTGTTTCTTAGGAACGTCATCAGTTCATCTAGCTGTTACTTCACTTTTTGAGTGTCAAAATCATATGCTTGCTGCTGTCTGTTGATTGTTGGCAGGGAAAAGTTGAACTCGATGAATTTGCTGCTATATATGTCCCCGATTGCTGTTCTAGCCTTGTTGCCTGTAGCACTTATTATGGAACCAAATGTTTGGGATGTTACCATAGCACTTGGAAGGGACCATAGATTCATGTGGCTTCTTCTTTTATTGAATTCAGTTATGGCTTATTCAGCAAACCTGTTGAACTTCTTGGTTACTAAACATACCAGCGCACTGACACTCCAAGTAAGATATCTTCTTGATCCTCTTCTTTTGTTAAAGGGTTCTAGTATATTACTGCCATAAACCCATGTTACTTAGTTTTCATGTTAGTCCTTACAGAATTCCGTGTAGAGATTTATTGGATTTGATTGACCGTGCCACTTTTTAAGTTTTATGTTCTTTTCTACTTCGATCAAAAAAGAAAATTAGAAACAACTTTTATGGTGAAGATTAGGGAGGTGGTTTTATGGAAGGACGGGGACAATGCTAGTTGAGAGTTGGGGCACCCTTAAAGATGATATTTCACTGCTAGCAAATATTGTTGTAACGACTCAGATCCACCGCTAGCAGATATTGTCCTCTTTAGGCTTTTCCCTCAAGGCTTTAAAACGCGTATGCTAGGAGAAGGTTTCCACACCCACACGTTTATAAAGGGTATTTTGTTCTCCTCCCCAACCAATGCGGGACATCACAATCCACCCTCATTCGGGGTCCAGCGTCCTTGTTGGTACTCATTCCTTTCTCCAATCGATGTGGGACCGCCACCAAATCCACCCCCTTTGGGGCCCAGCGTCCTTACTGGCACACCGCCTCGTGTCTACCCCCTTCGGGGAACAACGAGAAGGCTGGCACATCGTCCGGTGCCTGGCTCTGATATCATTTGTCATGACCCAGATCCACCGCTAGCAGATATTGTCCTTTTTGGGCTCTCTTTCGAGCTTTCCCTGAAGGCTTTAAAATGCGTCTGTTAGGGGAAGGTTTCCACACACTTATAAATAGTGTTCTGCTCTCCTCCCCAACCAATGTGGGACATCACAATTGTCCTCTCTGGGCTCTCCCTTTCGGGCTTCCCTTCAAGGTTTTTAAAACGTGTCTATTAGGAAGAGGTTTCCACATCCTTATAAAGAATGCTTTATTCTCCTCCCCAACCGATGTGGGATCTCACAAAAAGCTAGGCCAAAGTCAGTGGATTGTTGCTCGATGTGGGTCCTCAGATTTACACAATTATTTGGATATGCCATAACTGATATTGAGACAGAATGCTTCCTCCAATATAGGGATCTTGTTTTAAACATTGTTTATGCACTGCTTGTCAAGATTTGTTTCTAACTGCTGCGATCTGTTGAGAAATCTCTGTGAAGTTTTGCTTCTGTTCATCTTATCAGGTTTTGGGCAATGCAAAAGGAGCAGTAGCCGTTGTTATCTCCATTCTTCTGTTTAGAAACCCCGTCACAGTCATCGGAATAGGTGGTTACACGATAACCGTTCTCGGAGTCATTGCATATGGAGAAACCAAGCGGAGGTATAGATGATCGAATGAAACCAAGGTATGGAATCATCACCATGAAGATGACACATTGTTATTTTGTGATGATCAGAGAAATATGGTTAAGAGTTGGAGATTGTTTATTAGAATCATAGGAAAGACGATTGAGTAATAATTTTTTTTTGTTCGATTCGTTTACGTTCCACGTTCCACGTTACCTTTTTTTAGAAGATATTGTCCCTTGTTCATTATCAATTCAGCTGAGTTTTTATCATCTCGCCAAGAACAATATATAGCTCAGTTTTGATTGAGCTCTGTAGAGGGCTGTTTACTCTTTACTTTTTAATCTAAATTCTAATTGTCTTAAATTCCTGTCAAAGGGAAATCATCCCATTTGGTG